CTTTTCTTTTTTTAGTTTTCTCCTCTTTCTCTTCCATTTCCCCCGCTTTCTTCTCTCTTTCTCTTTCCTTCTTCCACCTCCTCTCCTTTCTTCTCTAGTCTTTCTTCCTTCTTTTGTCCTCTACCTTTTTCTCTTTTCCTCTTTTTCTTATTCTCCCTTTCTTCCTTCCTCTCGCCTCTTCTCTTCTTTTTCCTCTCTCTCTCTTACATCTTTCATTTTCTCATCCTTTACTTCCCTTTCCTTTTCCTCCTCCTTTCTTCCTTTTCCTCATTCTTCTTATCCTCACCCTCCCTCTTTCTTTCTTTGCTTTCTCCTCCTTTCCATCTTTCTTTAAACTGTCCCTTCTCCAGCTCATTTCTCTCCTTCCCTTTCTCTTTCCTCCCCTCCTTTCTTCTCCCCTTTCACTCCTTTTGTCCTCTTTCCCTTTCATCTTCTTCTCTTTCTTCTCTACCTTTTCTCTTCTTCTTTTCCTCCCTTCTCCCCTCATATCCTCCTTATTCTCCTTATCACCTCATTTCCTCTCCTCCCCTTTTCCCCTCATCTTCTCACTCTCCCTTTATATCCTCCTTCTTTCCTTCCTTTCTCCATCCATCCTTCCTTTTCTTCCCCACCCCCTCCTCCATCTCCCCTCATCCGTCCCCCCCTATTCCCCTTCTCCCCTCGTTTCATCTTCCCTTTGCTCCTTTCTCCTCCTGTTTCTCCCCTTCTTTTCATCCACTTTCCCATCCCTTCTTCCGCCCCCTACATTATTCTATTTCCTCCACTCCCCTCCTGTCTTATCCCCTCCTCTTCCCCCTTTCTCCCTCGTCTGCTATCCTTCCACCTTCTCCCCTCTTCCCTCTTCTCTCCTCATCTCCTCCCATCCTCCATCTCCCCTCATATCTCCTCCTATTCCTCTCTCTCCTCATCTTCCCTCCTCCTCTCCCCATTTCCCATCCCCTTATCTCCCCTCAATTTCCTCTATGTTTCTTTACTCTTTACCCTTTCTTTTCTCTCATCCATTTCCCTTTCCCTCTCCACCATCTCCCTCATCTCCACATTCCCTCATCCCTCACCTCTCCCCTCTCCCCCTTCTCCCCTCACCCGTCCCCCTTTCTTCCTCTCAACCCCTTTCCCCGCTTCCCTCCCCTCCCCCTTTCCTTTCCCCTCCATCCCCTCCCCCTTTCTCCCTTCACCCTCCCCCTTCTCCTCACTCCTTCACTCTTCCCCTCGCCCCTCACCCCGTCCGGCCTTCTTCCCTTCATCCACTTCCACCATCTCCCCTCCCCATCCTCCCCCCTCACCCTCATCCCCTTCCCCATCTCCCCTCCCCATCCTCCCCCTCCCACCCTGTCCCCTTTTTCTCCCCTTCACCACTCCCCTTTCCCCCTCTCTCCCTTCACCCCCTCCCCTTATTCCCCCCTTCACCACTCCCCTTTCCCCCTTCTCCCGCCTCACCCTTTCCCCTCCCCTTCTTCCCCTTTCCCCTCCTCCCCTCCCCCCCCTCCCCCTTCTTCCCATCGCGCTCCTCAGGTCACGTGCGGGCGGTTCGACCCCACGCAGGAGCGGGATCCCGGGCCGCGTGGAAATCCTGCGGGATTCCCTCACGGCGCCGCCCAATCCCGCCGCTGGGAATCCCGTTAAGCCATGGATCAGCCCGCCCGACCCACACCATTACCCGGGTCACGCGACTGGCAAAACTAAATGACCGAGGATCTATTTTTCTTTCCCCTCTCTTTCTCTTGGTTCTCCGTTTTTTTTTCTCTCTCTCGGTCTCGGTCTCGTATTCTCTCTCTTTCTCTTGTTTTTTTTTCTCTCTCTCTTCTCTTAGGGTCTCTTTTTTTTCTCTTCTCAGTCTCGGTCTCCTCGTGTCTTTCCGGTTCGTTCTCTCTTTCTATCTTTCTGCGCGGTCTCTCTCTCTCTCTTTTGCTCTCTCGTTCTCGCTCTCTGTCTCGGTCTCAATTCTTCACTTTCTCTCTTCCGGTCTTGTCTCCCTCAGTCTCCGCTCTTCTCTCTCTCTCTCTCTCTCTCTCTCTCCTCTTTCTCTCTCTCGTCTCTCTCTCTTCTCTTGGTCCGGTTTTTTTTCTCTCAATCCCTCTCTCTTTCTTGATTCTCGTTCTCTTTCTCTCTCGTTGCGCGCTCTCTCTCTCTCTCTTCTCTCTCTCTCTCCTCTCTCCTCTCTCTCTCTCTTTCTCTCTTCTCTCTCTCTCTCTCTCTCTCTCTCTCTCTTCTTTCTTTGATCTCGTTTCTCTTTCTCTCTCGTTTCTTCGTTTCTCTCTTCTCTTCTCTCTCTCTCTCTCTCTCTCTCTCCTCTCTATCTATCTATTCTGTCCTATCGATCTATCTATCTATCCTGTATCTATATATATTATATATTATATATATATTATAATATATATAATTAGTATATTAATTATAAATTAATATATTTATTTTTTAA